GCACAAGAGACCGCAAATTGATTCAAACATATCCTACTTCGGGCAAATTTGACAATATCCTATACTAGACGTGCAATTGAGCATTCATTGGCTTTCATTCCATATACACTAATGTAATCAAGATTAATAAGCCTCTAAATGACCCCAAATCTAGCATACACCCTTCTAAAGAACTAGTACTCATCACTCAAGAGCCAAGCAAGCAAAATATATAAGCATCATCATTTGAGTCTCATCCTTAGGCAATTTTTTTTTTCAATTTTGTAAGTTGTTATAAGGAAATAAGAAAATGAAAAGAAAAGGCATGAATATCCAAATGTACAACTATGAACAATTTCAAGCATCAAACTAACAATCAACCCCCTTTCATGAAAGCGTGAAGCTACCCCCCAAGCTTAGACGAAGCATTGTCCTCAATGCTTTGAAGAGATAATCAAGGGGGAGTGAGGGAAGGGAACACAATCAATCTCAATAAGTACATCTAATCCAACATCCATAACATCAACGAAAAACCACAACATATGATAAAATCTAGCCCCAAGCCAAACTCTTTAACAAGCAACCAATGAATGACAAAAATAATTATAAAATCAATAGCTTGAGAAGGGATGAAGAGAGAAAGAGATATTACACAATTTGATGAAAAATTCTTCATAAATTCTTCAAAACTTGGTAGAGTATGTTGTGTCTTTCCAATGTAGCAAAAACTCCAAAATTCTTGTGAATTTGAGACTATGAGATGTAATTTGGAGTGGAGAGATCATAGAGAGTACCTAATTGAGAATCATTTCATAAAGCTCGTTAGTTCAAATCATCATACAATTAAAATCCATGCACATCATTATTAAAAAATAAACAAATAAAAAAAGGGGAGAAAATTTGCCTTTGTTTTCGGTCTTTGGCTATACCTTAGCTAGTAAGTAATTTGACAAACTCCTAAGGAGCTTATCATATGCACTTGAGCACATTTCATAAATTAAAACTATGAAAATAAAAAGAAAATTTAAAGAGAAGAAGAAAAGGATATACGTTAATTTACAAAGTTTCCTAAAATAAAAATGAAAAGATCTAAAAAAGGTTCTAGATTGAAAAGAAGAAGGAAAAATAAAAGTATAACTATCAACAAAACACTTTGGAGATTCATTTAGCAAATCAAAAACCATATCTACATCAAATTTACCAAATTGAGTATCATTGGTTAGAAAATGGTCATGCAATTCATAGAATGAAGTACACAGTGGCTCATGTGAAGTGAACTTGGGAAGATGAGGGGGAAAAGGTTTGGAAATGAGACAAAAATATCAATAGTTTTTTAGAAAGGGACATGAGGCTCAAAAAAAGAATGTTCAATTGGTAAAGACTCAACAAATACCTCACTCTCAACTCTATGGTCCTCACAAGAGGGATTTTCCTCCACTTTATACCTTTTATCCTTACTTTTCCAAAATTCATCATGAATATCTAGGCTACTCTTTCCAAATTGATCGCTATCCTCAATATCTCTTGAATAATCATCAATATAATCAAATTGAAGAATACCATCAACATTACATTTGGACTTTAGTAGACCTATATAATTAGTGGAATTCAATAAATAATCATCAACTTTGTCATCACTCATAATTAATGGTACATTAGGCTCATTATGCAAATTGATGATATTTGGAAAAATAGGGTCATCAACCAAAGGTTTTTCAAGAAGAGGCTTCTCAAAATTTTCATTTTCATTCATATGAACCCTAGAAGCTTCACTATAATGATTCATGGATGTACAAGTGTTGTTTATGTCCATTAGATTCCTAATCTCTTCACAACCCTCCAAAAAACGTTCTAAAGCAAGCTCTAAAGAAGACTTGGGTTCTTGAGGATGGGAGAAATTTCGAAAATCACATTGGGAAGAGGTGTCAACATTATGCACATTAGCCACATCATGAGGAGAACATGACATAAAATTGGAATCAAAGAAAAAATTGGGAGAATTTTGACAATTTGCATCACCAAAACTCGAAACATTAGAATCCAAAACATTATCACCACATTCTTCAAATGAGTTTGCATCATTAAAATGGTCATATGTCTCGTGACTAGCCATCTCCCAATCATAAGTATCTTTTGCTAGCCACTCAAACATACACCAACTCTCATTAATACTTGTAGACATATATTGACCTTCACACATAGATTCAACAACAACTCGCATTTCATCATTTAAACCTTCAAAAATTACTTCACAAATTTTCACTTTTAAAAGTCTATGGCCATAGTTATAACCAATATACTCATTACCCCTATGTAAATATCTCCAAAATGTTTCATTCTCATGTTGGGGAAGGGAAAAAATTGCCATTTATTTCAATGGAAGAAACCCCAAAATAAAATTAAAAATAAATAAATAAAAAGAGAAGAAATAAAAAAATGTACAAAGACCTAGACTCATCTAATCAATACTTAGCCAATGTCAATCGAAGTCCCCGGCAACGGCGCCAAAATTTGATAGGTCGTCGTCGAGCCTACCAGAGATAAAAAACCTAAGTTGGTCTCTCTAATGGATAGAAAGGGCAAGTAAGGGTCGATCCCACAAGGACTAAGGGGAGCACTAATAAGTATCGATTTGTGATAAGCTAAGTTAAGTCTTTTTGGGTTTTGAGTTATTAAGAAAAACTAAAAACAATAATAAAAAGGATCTAGGGAAGGTATCCACCAATTAAGTCATTCACAAACTACAATTTAACATACAAAACATAGCAATTTGGGGATAAATTAGGGGAAGTCAACTAAGGCACCCAACTACTCTCTCAAGCTAGAGGGATTACTTGAGTCATGAATACAACCTACTCTTGTGGTTACTGTAGGGATTATTTCAAGCATTACCCCTAGCTTGAACCCCACTATGATCATACACTTAAGTACGGTGGCGTCCAAAGGGAAAGAAGATAGAGCAAAAGAGTCGCCAACAAGTTTTAGGAACTTGTAAACTGTTCACGAGGTGAAGGTTACACCCCTTAACGATCCAGGAGATCGTTAACTCCAATAGGTCTGGAACCATGACTGGTAGTTCGGGGATGAAGGTACAAATCCAACCTAAAAGAGATTGAACCTGCCCTAATAATAGGCCTCTACTTTATTTTGATCGTATTCATGTGCACTTTCTGACTAACATGCAATCATTAGGTTTACCCTAAAACTGTTTATCTATGTTGGTTGAATATTAATGCACAAATAAATCTATTATTGGCGATCACTTGAATAATAATCATATTTACCCTAAACAAGATTATTAATTATCTTATTAAGCGTGATTACAAGTACAAATTCCCTTCAAACATGCATAAAAGGCGTGATCAAGCAATAACAATAAATATAATATATCAAGCAACATAATAATAATCATAACAATAATAATCATAAAATTATAATCATAATTATAAAAATAATCATGTTAAAGCATAATAATAGCAAGATCCTAGGCATGATAATAACAAGATTAATAACAAACCCTAGCATGTCACTAAGCATTAAAAATCAAAGCTTTAGCCCTAACATGATACTATCATGAATATTAGAAAGAAAATAGGAAGCATCATAGAAATCATAATTGTCATATTTGAAATTATAACCTTTTCCCTAAACATAATACTAGGAATCAATAAAACATCCTAACATGATACTAGGAAAATCAAAATGCTCTAACATGACATTAGGAATCATAATAACAACCTAGACATGATTTCGACATCATAAAATCAATAAATCAATTAAAGCACTTACTTGGATGTCTCGTATCTCTTTCTAATAACACAATACACACGTTAGTAACTTCAAGAAAAATATAAAATCAAAACAATTAAATTAAATAATTGAAATAGAGATTTGGGACCAAACCCTCAGAAATTAAAACCTTTCACGTATAGGGCGAAGGCAACTTCGAACTTGGCTAGGTGTGTCTAGTGCTGATGTATGAGGAAATTTGTTTGTAAAAGGGTTGGCTTAGAAAAAGGGAGAGAGAATCAAGAAATTCTTGATGAGAGTTGATGAGAATTAGATGAGAAGGATTGATGAGAATTGATGAATGAAAACGAAGTTTTTAGATTGCTATTTATAGAGAAAAACTCGTTTCCATGGTTTGGTGAATTTAATATTCTCGGATGTACCCTTTGTTGCTCAGAGCGTTCAATCAGGTAGATGGAACATGAATTCCCACAGGGTTATGTCCATATGTATAACACATATGGGTTTTAGAAAAGTGAGAAAAACTTAATCAGGAAGTAGGATCGAGCAAACAGTGCTAAAAACTGGTCAAAATTCACTACTACAAAAAAGGCCTTAGAGAACTGTTATAATAGGCTTTATAGATTGCCTTAGGGGCGTTCTTCTTCTAAGCAATGTATAAAATATAGAGAACGGGTCGTGTAGGAAGTTTATATAATAACAAATAGAGAACGGTTGTTAGTCACAACCGTTCTCTTTTCCCTTCTTAAATTCGTACACTAAGGAAGGAATACAGAACGGTTTAGGCCACTTAACCGTTCTATATTGCATTACAATAGAGAACGGTTAAGTTAGGTAACAGTTCTCTAATGTTTTTTTTTTTAAAATCCGGCCATATGTATTTAATTATTCGAATTACCCCTCTATGTATTTTATACCGTATTATTCATATATTGTAATAATCTGAATTATTTTTGTATTTCATTTTAGACCTGTATTCTTGTTTTATATCTTGTAAATTTATATATCCTGTAAGAAAATCTTCACATTTCCTATGTGAAAAAAATCCAAGATCCTGTACGTGAAATATAACTTTCTGTATAATAAAGTTAACAAAAATATTTCCAGATACGACGAAAGCCATCAAAATATACTTCATATATATAATTTAAAACATCCAACCACAATTAAATTGAATCATTCATACAAAATTTGTTCTATACAAACAAATACGTGAGTTAAATATCAAAAACTTTCTAGTTAATGTTGATTTTAAAAAAGAATTGATGTCCCAAAATATACCAATACCATATTGATCTACAATTCACATAAATCATCGTCGTCGTCATTTGGTTGATGGTATCCAGTAACATATGAAATCCACCTTTCCCTAAGCTCGTCAATCATTTGTTGAGAATATGTATGAGGAACTTGCTTAAAATACTACAAAACAATGTAAAATACATACATATTAGTTAATAATATATTAGTTCAAAATAGAGTGTCATTATGGGGCATGGATAACATATAAGCCTCACTCAACAGCATAGGTATATATCTGAAGTTGCCAACAAGGCACAACCAAACAAGCAAGAGTAACAGATCCTGTAAGCATTTACACAATATCTCATGAAGTATAGCAACAACAAAGATTCGGAATACAAAGAAGTAACAAATTTCAAATAATAATAACAATTTGATCTCTTTATGTGCCATCAATATCATTACAGTTATAATTGAATTCCATTAGCACTACTATTCGTGTTAACTAGCTTAGCATTAAGACACAAGTTCTATTTAATATAACCAAACTCTACTAGTTAAAACAAATAAGCAATTAGCTAAATATACCTACTGCCACTGATACAATCAATATCTTTATTGATTTAAAGTGCACATCTACTGCCACTGATACATTAAAGCTACGAAAATGAAGCCAAAAAATGGGTGTCCCACTCCCACTTATGAGAAAATCCCTTTGAAAAAAAAAAAAAAAACAGAGGATGAAAATCCTCTATCTCACCTCATCATATACTGCCACTGATACATTAAAGCTGCAACTATCAAATGCACACGTTACCTCGTATAAGCCTAAAGTGTACTGGAAAGACGACGGTTTTGAAGAGGTTTTGTACACACTTCCACAGTCCAAAGGCGGTATTGGATTAGTGCTTAATGATGTAACATAACTAATTGTTGCTGCTGCGAAGAAACTATACCCTTTTAGAAAGTCTGAACCTGCTGCTGCTGCTAAAGGGTCAGTACTTGCAGTACCTGAGTGGTCTGTAAAATCCCCATTCGGCATAGTGGAATTCCGCCCCTCGGCTTTCACACTAACCTCCCGCTCCTCAGCATTCGAATTCTCACCCTTCCCTCTCGCAACTGTTAACCTCCTTTTACTCCCAACCTTCCCTTTCACCAATACACGCAATGGAAAAACCCGAACCCCTCTCATCTCCCCCAAGATAAAAAACCCAAACGAAAGGCAAATCGACGAAATTTGGAATCTACAATCAATCACAGCACACTTCACTAACCTCAAACTCCTCCCATCCCCAATCAATTTCACCCCAAAAACCCATACTTTCCCCCCTAAAGCTGAGTATAAAGCCAAATAATTAATTGACCTAGAAATCATAACCTTCATCCAATGACTTACACCAACAATCACACCCAATTTCCTATCAAAACTAACCCCATTTTGACTACAAACAACCTGAGGTACATTCACAAATTTCCCATCAAAACCCAACAAATAAAATCTCAAAACAACCCTAGACCCACCATTGTAGGGCCTAACAGTAATTTTAGAGAGCATAATTGTGCAAAATCTACAAATTTTAGAGAGTATAGTCAGATGTGTGCATCAGCTACTCAAAATACATTAAAACTAAATGTCGTACCTTGTTGGGGAGGATCATTTCCCTATATTCAATTGTCTCAATCATGTAGCGACAAACGTAATATCCACTATCACTAGAGCCAGTAGCTTGACGAGGACACTAATCCAAACAAAAAAAAGGGGGAGGGTTAAATCAAACTCCTAGTTATATATAATTTTAGTACATATATTATGTACTAAGCATTGTAAAATTAAATTAAAGATTCAAATACCTCTATGCTTATCCATTTATTTATTAGCTCATTAATAAAAAAGCGTTATAAATTTAAAATAGAAATGGCAAAGGATACAACACTTACATCATTAAAATTGACATGTGTGACGATTTTATCTCTCTTTGGAAGCACCATTCAAGCATGTCTTCATAATCAAGGGTAATACATTGCTCATTTTGAAACACTCTATCCAAAGCTGTAAAAGTTTTGGTTTTACCGCTCGTTTTCATTGCAATAGCCACATCCTTAAATACTCGAACCAAATTAGAAGTCAACTTCAACTTATCAGCATGAGTTATTGTGTACTTTCGAGTGCATGATGAATGTGATGATGGCGAGTGTGGAGATGGTGCAGCGATTTATTTAGGGACTTGCTTATCAGCCTTGTCATATAATCACAGGAAAAAAAATCAGCAAAAAAAAAAAGATGATCGTATTATATAATGTGACAGATAATTATAATTTAAAACTGAATTTTACCTTCTTTATAGGAAAAACCAAGTGAGAAGGCCATATTAAATAATAATTTAAAGTTTGACAAATGAATCTTATCTCCCCTTCAGGACATGGTAAAGGTGCATTTGGGTTGATTTCTTCTTTAACACAAACTCGATAATGACCACTTGAGACAGGCTTGAAATGATGCTTGACAACTTCTCCTTCCATCCCAACATACACTTCTCCAATAGCAACTATATCGACCCTTTTGTCACTCTTAATTGCCATGGAACAAAGACTATCAACTCCCTAAATATGGATTATGGTATTAATAAAACTTTTGTGGATTGATAAGATGTAGTAGTCTATAATTTAACACCATCAGAAGAATCTAGGATATATGTACTTACATCAAACACATAAGTATTAGGAAATAATGTTACCTGTGGAAATGGTGGGCTTGTAATGTCTTGTTCATTATTGAGTACATGCGTTTCCAAATTCTCATTTTCTGGCACATATCCCTCCTTAAGCCACACAACAAGGTATGGCTCGGGTTGAACCTCAAACTCTTCAACATTCTACTGTTGGAAGTTGAAACCTCGAACCCCTTGGTCAACTTCGGAGCCAAAGACATCTAAATGATCATCTAACTGTTCACCACCAAGTTCTTTCAATTGCTCCGCGTTAACCTGACCACTTGACATTAAGTAAGACAACAACAAATTTTGTGTGTTAACCACATTTTCTAGTTTTTATTTGAGACACTTAAGATCTGATTGCAATTGACTTTGTGGTGTTGGTTTGTTGTAACCAAAGTACAGCTTATTTGTAACACCCGACCCAGCGCCCCTAACACAACCTCCATGTTCAGGATTCTTTAATGCTCTCGCTAGGATATCATTCCGGCCAGTGGCCTCAATTTCTCCTTGGATTTGTTGAGCCTCTAATGCTTTCTGACATCAATAATAAGCAACCTAATTAAGGCAGTGTAATCTATTATAGCCAAATAATTTATTTTATTCAAAAGTAGAAACAAACTCACAATTGTTTGAGCTATTTCAAAATCAGCAGGATTGTCAGAGGTCATTGCACCATCTTTTTGTCTGGAATGATCTCTTATCCAAACCAAATGTCGAGGCACGTCTCTAACTTGCACTCCTTGTTTCTGAAGTTCAGCAGCCTGACAATACAAATAACACAATGCCATTTAACAACTAAAAGTCATCCCTTAATTTATTATTTAATGTTATTCCTTAAAAAAATCAACAAAAAATAGAAAATAATCATTTCTAAACTTACAATCTCTTGTTCATAATACAAGTACCCTTTTCGACCTCCTCGATATCTTGAAGTATTCATTTTTGCCCTCTCTCGATTGTTGTCACTTAGTTCCTTTCAATATAATAATGTATAAACAATGAATTCCCAGTTTTCAAAGGTTTTTTCACAACTATGATTAGCTATGGGCTATAATTCAAAGATTACCTTAAACTCATCATCAGTATATGTTTTAATGAATTTGGTCCAATCATCTTGTGTTATAAATGGATATATCGAAGGTGGCTTCTTTATAATCACATTTGGATTTACTCCCTTGGTGTCGTACATCCAATTCTTTCTTAATCTGGCCTTGAAAGCTCTCCAGCGGATTGAAGCTCTCCTTAATACATAATTTCTACGTTCTTCCGGCACTATAAATCCTCTCTACACAATTCAAATAAAAGATATCAGATATAAGAATACCGAAATTCATATATCAAAACAATACCTGAGTTCGAATAAACAAGCTTTTATGAGGCTTGATCATTCTCTGGAAGCCACACTGCAATCTTGATTTTTTTGTTAGGAACCCCATTTAGGCAGAAATTATATAGATAAATAAAAATAGCTAAATCAATAATATCATCAATGATGAAATGGAACGAACTAGAATTTCATCAATGATTATTTTCATCAACCCAACCTCTCTAGCAAGCTGTAAACCCCACCAGATAGCTTTGCTTTAGCTTCAGCAGCCTTCAGTTCCCACCTATCACAACACTGGACAACAGAGCAAACTGCAGCCTGCTACTTGTTCCCAGTATGCGTATGCACAATATCCTCCTGTACTTCTTTACATATAAGCATACAAGTGGGATGAACACAAACAAGCACAGTAATAATTCACTCTGTGATTCAGAACATCAGGTAAGCATACAAGCGGGATGAACACAAACAAACACAAACAGATGCTCTAAAATTGCTTGCCATGCATAAAAGGCCTGTTCCTCGTGTTGCTGCTACAATTGGAGCATGGATGAATACATTTCAGGCAAGCTTTCGAATTGTCAATCTTTTTTGTGCTTACTGCAATTATGCATAAAATCACATTTACTGCAGTGAAGAGCATAAAAGTTGGAGTAATAAAATCCATAACTTCATATGCTAAAGCAAGAAACAAACCCAACATTTCCTTTCAATTAAAACAGCTAAAATCCTAACACTTAAACATCACTAATTTACTAAGATTATGTAATAATCACTTTAGGGTTGCATCTGAAAGCTGCAAGCCTGAAACCACAAAAGATATGTCTTGCTATCCAAAAGTTGGTCTAACTTATGGGGTCTATAGCCACTTTAACATACAATTTTGAATCAAAGAAGTCAACAAGAAGCTTTAATTTAGTTAATCTAAAACTGTTCCTCTTTAGTAAAAAAAGTTAGTTTGCCAAATAAATTTTTTTCCTCATTACCATCAAACCATTATTCCATAGCCTAATTGGTTAAATCTCCAATATTAATTAATTACAATTTGCATTAATAAAAAGCAAAAAACAGACAATTATGTTGGACAGAGTGATTAATGAAGGATACAATACAGGACAGTCAAAGCAAAGTTGGGATGACATTTAAACTCTCAGACATTCAGCAGCTGCTAAAGACTATTTGATTTGCATAAACCTCATCACATATAATCTAGCTCAAAATCCCTAGCATAAATTAAGTACTTATATTTTATTAACAGCTGAAAATCATTACTTTGACAGCAATGTTGTCAGAATGAATGCATTGTGATAATGATAAGTGATTTATTTTTTTTATTGGACTAAAAGAAAATAATTTGAGGAATGAAACGGATAGAACTTTATTTTATTAACTCAATCTGTCACATAATTCTGCAACTAACTCATGATCATGGAACTAATCAAAAAGCCTTTACATATTGAAGAAAGTTCACAAAATATGACTTTTCAGGTAAATCAAGAAAACAATGCTACTACTTGGTACCATTCATATTTGTTTTCTATTGACTTCACTGCAGCTTAATTATTACTTAAGGAAACTGTTAAAACATAGGCATATGAGTTAAACATAAAAGAGTACAATAAAACTGAAAATTATGCCTTTTTCCCATGGTAATTATTCATGTTTCATTTGGAATAAAATAGATGCCACTGCCAAATCTGCCACGACTCGTGAGTATCAATGTTTTATTTTCATGTATGTATGTATAGGCATGCTCTGAAGCATATGCAACAAGGGTCCAGCATCATTAACACAATATCAGTTCTTGCATATAAAGGGAGTCCAACTGTAGACACTTAAAAATGTCTCCCCAAAACCAAACCCGATGATGAACAACCTTTCACCGCCACTATTGGTCGGGTTTAGTATTTAATCCCGAGAGTGCTTAAAAAATCGTATTTTATTAAATTCATATTTTTGAACAATCCATGGATTAGTCTTGGTGTTTGGTAAAAGCATAGTTTTAATTTCAACCCAAACTTATTAATTAATTCTAGCCCAAACCTTTTTATTATATTGTTTTATTATTGGCCCAAACCCTTTATTTATTTTTATTTAATTACTTTCTTATTATAGCCCGAATAATAAAAGTCAGAAAAAGGCCCGAAATTATCAATCGGCACTTAAAACAGCCGAAAGAAATTAGGGTTAAAAATGAATTTAGACGGAAAATGGACTGGAATTTCCCGCGCCACGGCAGACTACCACCGTGTCACGGGAACTCTTCCCGTCTGACGGTGGGACTTCCCGTGACACGGGAGGTATGCCGTGACACGGGACATTCCGTGTCCTTTCCGCGTAAACCCTTAACGCGTTTTTCATCCCGTTTTCTGAAAATTTCCCGCGTCACTCCAAAAGTGTACCGTGTCACGGGAAAGTGTACTGTCTGACGGTGGAGCTTCCCGTGTCACGGTACAGGCTGACCGTGTCACGGGATATTATTTTAGGGTTTTTATCATTTTAGGGTTCCGTGTGCTCCCTCAGCACATTTTCCCTATAAATACCCCCTCATTTCTGATGAACGGGGCACTGAGAATTTTATTATTTTTATTTTCTCTCTTCTATGCTATTGACCTAAACACTAGCCTACCCTTTTCATTTCAAAATTCCTTCTTCAAGCACTCAAAGGAGTCCATATTTTACTCGAGGTTCTGTCCTTAAGCCAAGGCGTGAAAGGTAGAACTGTTTGAGGGTTTGGCCCCAAATTCAACTTTATTTAATTTAATTTAATTTAGTTATTGTTTATTTATTTCCTTGAAGTTACTAACTCGTTTATTATTTTGTAGTTTCAAACAAACAGAATCAAAGTAAGGATCATGCTCCTTCTATTTCTATTATTTCTCTAACGATTTTATGTTGTTGGAATTGTGATTAAATTGGTTTTAATATTAATGTTGTTCTGTTATATTTATTGATCACCATATTGCATGTTTAAAGGGAATATGTAATTGAAAATCACGCCTAATAAGATAATTTGGACAACCGGTTTAGGTTCCTTTTAATCTTGTTATTTAATTCAAGTGATCACGATAGTTTAGAATTATGTGTGCATTAATCTTAAACCATTTTAATTAAATAATAGTTTGGAGCGAATTGGATTATTGTTTGTATGCCTTTGAGATCACAGGAGTGCTTTTCACTATAAGAATCGAGTAGAGGCCAATACGGGCGAATGTGACTCCATGACTCACTTCGTACCGTCATCCCCGATCCTCCTTTCGTGGTTCCGAACCATATGGAGTTAGTAATCTCATGGATTATGAATGGGGTGTAACCTTCACGGGTCAATCGTTGTTGCCTTCATTGTCCCTTATTCGTGGTTGCCTTTTATGATCCGTGAACGGTTTACAAGTTCCTTAAAAACTTTTTAGCGGCTCCCTACTTTCCTTGTCCCTAATCGTATTATGTCAATTCCCACTTCCTATGAGTGCCAAGCATATTCACCACATGCTTTTAACGTAGGCGCACTTCAAACGATGCCTACAATTTGGCGAATCCACTGGGGAGGATTCTTAATTAATTATCGATTTGAGTGATCGGTATTTAATTAAGATGAGTGGATGAGACTTGAAAGATTCTTGAAAAAATATTCCTGTGATTAATTTGGCATTTTTTGCATCTGCATAGACGTTTTAACGTCGCGTTCAAGTCTGTCCCGTAGGAAAAATTGGATAACTTAATTATGCGCAAAGGAAAACAGGGCACCAGTCAGATTTTCTGACTGCCGTGCCACGGCAGAATCTACCGTGTCACGGTACAGTGAACCGTCTGATGGTGCACAGTACCGTGACACGGGAATTTCTGTCGTGTCACGGCAGTCCTAAAATCAGTCCGGAGGCTTATTTTCTTTTCTCACAGTCGACTTCCTTGGGATTTTTCAGAAAAAACGTTTGTGTTCTACATGCGTCTTAGCCCCGGGGGATTTAAGCTCTATCGACCCAAAAACGCTCATGGCAATAAGGGTTCATCCGAGTTATTAAATCCACCCAAACCATGGAGTCGAGTTCGATTTCATTACGAACTCGCGAAGCCGCCCGTTGGTATACACCCTCAAGGGAGGCTGCCTTGCTAACGCGTCCAAACTCTTAACCATGGTACCCTTTTGACACCCAAAGCTTGACCAATAGTTGAAAATAGATCTCGACTCTAGGTTGCGAACTTTTTCTACATCATCGTGCCTAAATGCTATGTGGTTGTTTGGTGCTAACCCTCATGTGTTTGCTCTTTTTGTTTAACCCATGACCGAGGGTTTTTATTCTCACATAGTAATTAGTACGGACCTAAAATCGATTAAAATCTGAAAAAAAAATCACAAAACTGACCTGGAACTGCGCACCGTGTCATGGCATGTTCTGCCGCGCCACGGTGAACAGTGCCGTGACACGGGAAAGTCTACCGTCTGACGGTAGACTGCACTGTGTCACGACAGTCTGCACCGTGACACGGTGCCCAGGAAAGTGTCCTGACAGTCTTTTTTCTCGATTTTTGTGCGAATGTTGTGTCCAGTTTTGTGTCGTGTCTAGCTATACGGTCAAAACACGCGTCTATAACCTCACCTAATCATTCACGTATTA